TGGCGGGCAACCATGCACCAGTTGGCATGTTTGGGTATTGGGAATGAGGAAGTCCCACATCTGCAGTATCTCCAGATCCTTGCCCACACAGCAGGGTGCCAGTATCGCCCTGTCTGCCCTGACCAGGGAAGATGTCAGGAGCTAAGCAGGACAGCTCCAGACAGAGTGTGTCCACGTGTGTAACAAGTGTTTATAAACAGTGTGGGTGCAATGGATGCTGGTGATATCCAGGACATTTACTGACTCACAAGTTATTCAAGGAACAGCGTGTGGTTAAAATGGGGCTGGAATCAGACATGAGGTGCTGGGCAGTACGTTAATGTGACGAGTTTGGTAAGAATTGATGAGAAACTCTCCAAAAAACTCAACATAAGTTAGATTTAGCCAGTTAGATCCAGCTCCATGTGTGTGAACAAGTCCTTCCTAATGTGTAGCTCTAATTTTAAAGTAATGTTCCCTCTGTGGATTCTCCCAGCAGGGAAAGTCATTTCTCTCTATCTACTTAAACAAGAACTGAATAAAATTAACATTAAATAAACATCGGTAATGAGGAAATTAATGAAATCAAATAGTGATAAATTCCTTGGGATCTAATGGTTTCCATCTGAAGATATTAAAGGAAGTAAGAGGGCACATTATAGACACCCTAACTAAATTTTTCATAGTTGCCCAAATACAGAAGTCCCTCTGGATTGGAAAATTGCACACCATTCCACTTTTTTAAGGGTGAAAGAGGAAAACCAGGGAATTACAGACCAGTTAGTACAACATCCAAGGTAGAGAAATTGTTGGAGACTATAATCAAGATCAGGGCAACTGAACATCTTGAAAAATTTCAGTTCATGAGGGAGGTGCATGACAGGTAGGTCATGCCTGACAAAACTCGTTGAATTGTTTTGAAGAGCCGACTACAGCAGTGGACAGGGGAATGTCTATGCCCATTGTTTATGTAGACTTCCAAATGGCATGTGAGACAGAAGACATCAGAGACTTAACTAAGGTAGAAACCCACGTAATTGAGGGTAAATTATTCATGTAGTTGGGAAATTGTTTAAGTGTCAGGCAACAGAAAGTAGAGATAATGGGAAGGTAGTCAAAATTGCTAGGATGTGACCAGTGGTGTCCCACAAGGATCTGTGTTAGGGCCTCAATTATTCACATTAATTATAGCGACTTGGATAATGGCATGGAAAGTCATACATCTAAATTTGCTAATGACGGAGTAGACAGTGTAGATGATGATAGCATAAAATTACAAAGGGATATTGCTAGACTAAGTGAATGAGCAAAACTGTGGTGAATAGAATTCAGTGTAAATTCAGTGAAAGGCTATCCATTTTGGAAAATAAAGATAGATCAGGGCACTTTCTAGATGGCATGAAGTTAAATACAGTGGACATCCAGAGACATTTGGGGATTCAGGTGAATGGATGTTTAAAATGTCACAAACAAGTGCAGAAAATTATCTGAAATCTAATGGAATGCAGGCCTTTATATCTAGAGGAGTAGAATCTAAGGATGCAGAGATTATGCTGCAGTTATACAAAACAGTGGTTAGACTCCATTTGGAGTATCATGAGCAGATCTGGGCACCACACTTTAGGAAGGATATATTCGTCTCAGAGGGAATGCAACATTAGTTTACAAGAATGATCAGAAATTGCTGGAAAACTCAGCAGGTCTGGCAGCATCGCTGGAGAAGGGTCTGAAGACGTGTCACTGGACCTGTAACATTAACTCTGTTTTCTCTCCACAGATGCTGCCAGACCTGCTGAGTTTTCCCAGCAATTTCTAATGTTTCTGATTTCCAGCATTTGCAGTTCTTTGGTTTTGTTTACAAGAATGATACCTGGAATTCAGGGGTTAAGGAATGAGGAGCGATTGCACAAATTAGGCCTGTTTTTGCTAGAATTTAGATAGTTCAGGAGTGATGTGATTGAAGTCTTCAAAATATTAACAGGAAAAGACAGGGTAGATAAAGATAAACGATTTCCACTGTTTGGAGATTCTGGAACTAGAGGGTCTGAGAATTAGGGCCAGACTCTTCAGGAGAGATGTTAGGAAGCACTGCTACACATAGAGGGTATTAGAAGTTTGGAACTCTCTTCCAGAAACGGCAGTGGTTGCTGGATCAGATGTTAATTTTAAGTCTGAGTTAAATACATTTTTGTTCAGCTAAATTATTAGGGAGATATGAGCTAAAGGTAAGTATATGGAATTATGCCTCATGAAATAACTGCGCAGAGGCCGGTATCCCATCACCAAGTCACCTTTTATTTATTTGTGCACAGTACACTGGCTGTGGTCAGCCAGCTCAGAGTCAGTGCCTTGAATTGAGAAGATTCTGAATCCCCTGTTTTTTTTTCTGAGGCGATTCTAATCTCCTAGGGTTTTTTTGTTCTTTTATTTAAAGCCCCTACACTACTTCCATGCAGCAGTAGTGCTTATTTTCCCCAGTACCTGTGTTGTGTGTGTGTAGGTGCGAGACACAGTGAGAGACACCAGGTGTGTAAATAACTTTATTAATGTTCCACCACCAGGAAAAACACCCATGTGGCCAAGGAACCAGTGACAAGCAGAGTGCCAGTAGGAGAATCCCCTGTGTATATTGGTCAGCCAGGCCTTCCTGATTTGCCCAGGCCAACAACCCCAATCAAGGATCTTGTAGTGCACCTGGTTTCAATCACTACAGCCATGATTTCAGTTAAGGTGGAATAGGCTAGAGGGGCTGAATGGCCTACTCCTGTTCTGATGTAGGATGTTGGACTTACACTGAGAAAAACCCTCATTCATGACCGTGGCTTTTACTGGGAAGTTAACAACATTGTTATGAAATATACAACATATGAAAAATTAACAATGACCTGGTTATAGGGCATGTCCTCGCAGGACCATAGCTAAGGTGAGGACTTCTTGATATTTCACCACTTCTTCATATTGTCACAAACCTATCAGACTGCAATATACTGGTCATGTTTAATTCTAGCCATTTCCTTGTGAGAAAGCCAACCATTTGACAAATTAAAAAAGCAGTAAAATACAAAGACTAAAATATCAAATGTTTGTGGTTTGACCTTTTATGCTTGAATTCTGTTTCCTATCTATGCTGCAGTACAACTATCAAGAACTTTTTTTTAATCTTCATTGTTATGCTGTAGCTTTGGTTGAGCATTATTAAAAAGGAATCAGTTACTGTCAGCTTAAAATTTGTTGCAGTGCAGCTGTGCAGCTATATTTTACAAAGAAGATGATTCAAATAAGTTCAATCACCAAGGGCCATTGAGTGGGCTGAAAAATCTTTGGCAGTTTAGAAATGAAATGCAATATGTTTTCTATGTCAAAGTTGCTGCTGTGTTATTGAATATGATCTGATACATTTTTAACACAAACCCACAAAACTAATAATGTCTCAGTCTTAAATGCAACTAGATATTGATCTTCTTTCTTGTCAGTTGTCTAAAGGTTTCTTTGTCATAACCTTCCTCAGAGCATTCTACTTTCCAGTTGATTTCTACACTTGAGCATTTAATTTATACATCTTTTGGAGTGCTGCTTATGTTGCTTTAGATTGGACATCAAATGAGGATCAGGATGGTCAGGACTATTACTGTCGTAGACATATAGCTGCACAGCGGAGAGAGGACCTGCAGAAACAGAACCAACGTGAAGGGGACCAGCACAGAGAGACAGGTTGAAAGGTGCAGCTTGTAGGTGGCATTAGACATGAAACATGGTCTTAGAGGCAGAGAATTGGCTTCTTCGGTGTGCATATCAGTGTCTCAGATGGCTCAGAATATTACAAAGATTGATGTCAACAATCTGTAATCTCCGAGAAGATTTGCTGTCAAATATGACCAGTCACTGTCTGTCAACATGGCCCTGAATATTTGTACCTTTGGAGACTTCCTATATGCCACAGGCATATTGAGCACTTCCCAGTTGACTGTTCACTAATGTATAAGACAGATGACAGGCAGGTTGTTTGCCAGGGCCAGGAATTATGTCAACTTTGCAACTGCTGGTCAAAATGAACTTTGCAGCTCTGGCTGTCCTCCCGAAGGTGCAGAGTACCATTAACAGCACATGCCAATTCAAAACAACCAGGAACATACATCAATCAGATGAGCTTCCAATGTATTGATGTGTAGTCCAGTGCAACCCGATAAATAGATCTTTATACAGGTGTGAGCAGAATTCCGGTGCTTTTGCCCTGAGATGGACCAACATGCTGAATGTTTTCACACCCGCTAACAGTCTTAGCTGTGGTTGCTGGATACCCAGTGCAATATTCATTCATGACAAACTTCATAAACCCTCATACTGAAGCAGCACTACAATGAATGTCCTGTCACTACAAGAAGAACGCAAGGTCCTTGGAAAGTTGCAAGGTTAGTAGATATTCCAGAGCTAGGAGGTGCAGGACTATGGGGGGATCAGAACATTAGTCTGAGAATTTCAAATTTGAGATGTTGTTGGACTAGGAGCTAATGTAAGTCAGTAAACATAGGGGCAGTAGTTGGAAAGGATGAGAACGAGTTGTGAGTTGTGTTTTAAATGATACAAATAGACTTGATTGTGGAATCAAATATGGTCAAATAAACATGTGGAATGCAATTTTTAGCCGGCCTGTAAAAAATGGTCATTGGACTAAGTGACAGAAGGCTTCTGATATCAGAACAAAGCTTTTTATTCTCTTGTGGAATGTGGGCTATACTGGCTCAATCAAGGGGTGAAACTGAGAAATGCCTTTGGGTGAGGATGGTGAAATAAAATGATGTGATAGGTCTCAGCAATAAAATAAGCAATTTCAATCTTTAAATAAGTTTTTTTATTAAATTCATATCTGTTTTCCTGATACAACTTTCTAAATGACTGTTTCCTATTTAGTGCTTCTAATAAGTTATATAGTATTGGAAAAAAACACTAATTTTAATTATCTGCTCTTGAATCAAGCAACATGTTGTTTAGACATAAATTAGTTATCCATATGAAATGGTCCAAGTAAAATTCTTTCATCAAACCAATACATTTAGTCACGATCGTGGTGAAAATTAGAAACTAGAAATTCCCTGAATATGATTTGCCTGGTCAATGAAGAATATGGATGAAGATGTATTTCTAAAGTACCACAATAATTGAAAGGATTGTCTCTCTTTCTCACTTTCTCTTACTATCAGTCCTTCCTTGGCCTGGTGTGGTACTTATGTATCACATCCTGGAACATGATTGTTAAGAACTAAGCTTTGGTTCCGTTAGTTCCTTGATATTGGAGCCTCTCATGCTTAATCCTAGCTGGCAGTTTCAGGACGGAGTCGATTTTTTATTTTCAAACTGTGGCATGATCCCAATTTCTTCCTCTGTTCCAGAACTACTGGCTTTTTCACCTTCCTTCAGGCTTTCTTCAGCTAACTGTGACAGGTATTTCTGTGACAAAAAGCAAAGTCTGTCATAAGTAAATAAGCATTTACAAAAGAAACAAGCTAAAACCTGAGCAAACATGGTGCAACTTACAGTACTGATCGTAATTGGATCACACAGATTTCTGATTGGTTCATTTAAAAATAATCCCCAAACATTTTAAATTCTGATTGGAAATAGGTTTGTTGTCAGAAGATAATATTCCTAAAATGTTAAATACATATATCTTAAATGTTCATGTGATATTTACATCCCCTAATATAACATGGGTGTCATCTCTACCTGCTTTGAAGTCAAATCATACAGTGAAAGGTAGTATGTTGAACAAAGTGCAACATCCTAATTCTGGAAATTAAACTTAAAATATATTTTTACTGATTTTTATGAAGGAAGGACTTGTATTTAAAAAGCACCTTTGTGACCTCAGGATGCCCTAAAGTACTTTACAGCCAAAGATTTGCTTTTGTAGTAGAGTCACTAATCCCCCTTAACAAGCAACTTGTCCCTGCCCAGTGAGAATAATCTCACCTCAACACCCAGAATTTAGCTTGAAGATGCAATGTGTTAATCCTGACATTGAGATAGACCCCACTGGATTTCTCAGGTCACTCTGTCCCACATCTTACCACACCCTATGTCATTCACACCCTTATAAGATTCCACCCAATAAATGTATTCAAAAACAAGTCCCTAAACACAATTTTATTAGCTTAGACAACAAGGTGCAAGGCTGGATGAACACAGCAGGCCAAGCAGCATCATAGGAGCAGAGAGGCTGACGTTTCGGGCCTAGACCCTTCATCAGAAAAGGGGGAGGGGAAGGGGGTTTTGAAATAAATAGGGAGAGAGTGGGAGGCGGATAGAAGAGGGATAGAGGAGAGGATAGGTGGAGAGGAAACAAACAGGTCGAAGAGGCGGGGATGGGGCCAGGAAAGGTGAGTGTAGGTAGGGAGTTAGGAAGGGGATAGGTCAGTCCAGGGAGGACGGACAGGTCAAGGGGGCGGGATGAGGTTGGTCGGTAGGAGATGGAGGTGCGGCTTGGGGTGGGAGGAGGGGATAGGTGGGAGGAAGAACAGGTTAGGGAGGCAGGGACGAGTTGGACTGGTTTTGGGATGCGGTGGGGGGAGGGGAGATTTTGAAACTTGTGAAATCCACATTGATACCATT